GAAAAGAAGAAAAATCTTCTATCATCTTAGTGGTCCTTTCCTGCAGAATTTTGGGCGAAGTTGAGAAAATAATTCGTCATCCACTTGATATTCTGGCAATTGATTCCGGTAGCTAGTGCGAAACTAAACCTTATCGCACGCTCAATTACACAAATAAATACCGGAAGTTGAACCATTATAATTATATAAATAATAAAGTTGCATTTAAACTTAAGACAGGTATCATGGCTTTATTGCCAACTGATAGTTTTCCTATTGGTTATCCGGAGATAGACACGGCGTAGTCGCGCCGTCCACAAATGGAAGCATCCAACGGTGTTCGACCAAACAAAGTGGAACAGTTTTGCATCCATACACTGTAGGTGCCAAAATACCATGGAGTCGCGGCCTACATAAACGGTCCCTTGGGTAATTATGAACAAACGGTCACTTCAAGCATTATTGGTGTACAGTCGTAGCTTGCCGTAAAGTAAAAAGTTTTTAAACAATGTATTTTTGCAGTGCAAAGGGTAAAATATATGCTGTTTGGAGGAATGTGATGCGATTTCGTAACTACTCAAATGCGATGGTGCGATGACCTGCTAGAAGCAACATGGCCAAGCAACCTTACTGCAGAACTCGGCGTGAGAGTAGCAATGGTTTAACCAGCTCCACTAGGTTAGAGAATATGAAGGTCAACTGCAAGACGAATGGTATAACAGGCTGTAAATACGTATCTCAGAACAACCACGCACTCGTTAATGATTCGTTTGCGCTCCACGCATTCCTGCTATTTATGAGAAAACTTTCTAACTAGTAAAAATGGTAAAAGATAAAAGATGAAATTATTGGTAATTGCTGTAAAGTCAAACCTTAACTGCAATGCATATATCCACCGCTTCGTGCATAACCTTTCAGAAGTACAGCCGGCTAGGTAAAAACACTATCCAAGCAGATATCAACCCCTGTTAATTAATTTAAGTGCATTAAAGACTTTAGCGAGGCGCTAGAACGATTTTCAATGTGTCGAGGTCAAGCATTTCGAAAAGGGCATCAATCGAACAAGAATCCTACTTCGTCAAACTCTTCATCAGATTCCTCGCGCTTTACATATTCTACTTCCTGGCGATCCATATATCCACCGCCGTAGCCGGTGCGAGCCTCCACCTCACCAAATTTCGGCGCGTTGCATATGTTACACTGAACCCTTCGAGCCCAGTTTATATTACCGCACCTAAGATAAGACAAAAAGCACAACTTTGAGGTTACAGAGAACAAAACTTAACAAGAAACACCGTTACTTGGAACACGCCCAGTCCTCGGCGGCGAACAATCCTTTGCTCTTCTCAGCCGCCTCCTTTCCAATTTCCTGGCCGACCTTTCCCTTCGCTCTAGGTTTATTTCGACCGCACTGCTCACAGGTCGTTCTGTTCTGATTGTTGATAAAAGCACACCTAAAAGCAGGGATGGTAGAGTTCGCTGCCTCAGCAAAATAGGAACGATCCCGAACATCACCTCACTCACCGATTCGTTACTACGCCGTTACGCAAAAGAGGACCTGCCCAACTTTGTGACAAAGTTTAAAACTTTACTTGAAGTACTCCTAGATTCCTTTTATGTCGTATCGCTTTAAAATTTTAGTCATTTAGTTCTCTGAAAATTATTTATACTACATCATGTAAGAGAATATATAATTCATGCAAACTAGATCTGAAAGTCTGT